ATGTGTACTATTTCTCAGTGTATTAAGCAAAAAAATATAGAGAATTTAATGGCTGACAATCATGTGACTGCCTACATTGTGCACCTGTCATCCAAGACATTTCTCAGAGTACTGGGTACTTTCACATCAGTAATTCACGAAGTATAATAATGGTACATACAATATTTGTTCAGTAACACTTGCTGAATTTAGAAAGCCTGGAACTGGGGCCAGGGATTTAGCTCAGTGGTCCTTCCGCCTGCCTCGCAAGTGCAAGATCCTAAGTTCAATCCCCAGTACCAAAAAAAGAATGGAACTAATACTGAATTCTAAAAATACATAGTTTTCACAGGGAGCTTTAGAACTAAATATGTGAATGATTTTCTCTGGCCTTTCTAAATATTGCAAATATTGGAAGGAAATTTTTTAACTGAGCAAAGCAGAAGAAAATTATTGAAAATTATGTTATCAATAAATAAATGTATGTTAGAAATCTAGAAAAGCAAATCATTTTTTAAATTCTGTATATGAGCTCTTTAAATGTTTATTCTTTAGTTAATGCAGTTTAATGATGATGCTTAACCAATAACCTTAGTAAATTAAGTATACTTAGTAAACTAAATAAATAATTTACTAATAAACACAGTAAACTAAAATGTAGCACTTGTCATGCTTAAATATACTATAATATCTCATAATAAGCCTCACTGTAATGTGTAGCAAGAAAGTTTCTACTAAAATGAATTTTTATAAATTGATTCATATTTTAAATGCAGTACAACTTAAATTCATAGAGCAAATACTTACCCAAAGAAAATTGTTACTTGAATATATATTCAACATTTACTGTGTACTAAAGTTAATACTAATAAATATAAACAAATAGTTAATGCTTACTAAGTTCTAAAGATTTCAAAATGAATGAAATGCACTTTTCTAACATCGTGGAATTTACTGACTTGAGTTTGAAACAAAAATAAATTGTCATATTTCATTGTGGTAGTTGTTAGGGAACAGAAGAAGGGCAATTAACTCAATCCTTATGTTGGGATTGTGGGACCTCCAGAGAACAGTTCCATAGAGGAGGAAACAGCTGCTGGGTCTTTAAAATGGAGAGGAGTTAGCAAAGCAGAGCGAGAAGGAATTATATTCACCTAGCTGAGGTGACATCAGAGGTCCAGAATTGATAAACCTGTGCATGGAATTGGAAGCCATTCAATATCCTAGAGCATAGGGCAAAGGAAGGGACGGAGCAGGGGTCAGGTCACAGTGGACCCTGTGTGTGCCATGCTAAGGCTCTTGAACTTTATGGTTGCTGGTGAATAGCAACTGAAGCTGATTAAGTAGTATAGTCATAATGTCTTCTGAATGTGTACATATTTCTCTGAGAGCCATGTGGAAAGATGATTTGAAAGAGACACTGGGCATAAGAAAAGCAGATGGGAAACTGGAAGTATGTCCACTCCTTTTTAGCCTACTACTCAACACCTACCTGACCCCCTCTTTCTCAGCAAACAGACATGCCTCCTGTTTGATCAGCAAAGTTGAAGACATTCATAATTATCTCCCTTAACTAGCTGCTCTAACATTTAGCTGCTCTATCTGACCCTGCACCCATTCTGTACAGTTCATGCTGTATAAAATATTTTTATCTATTGGGTTTTTTCTATATAAATACAATGTATTTCTAGTTATTGAGGGAGTATAATTAAAAGGTCTAAGATATTCTGAATTTTAAAATTTTTTGTGATATAGAAAAGTATAAAGTTTAAGTTTTCTGACTGAATTATAAAATGTCTTAATGTTTTTAACTGACAAGATTTTATTTAAAAGTTCAGGATTCAAAATTTACAAGCTCATTTATTATTAAAATTAGAGGTTTTTTAAAGCTAGATGTATAATTAAAAAGACTAATAAGTGGATATGATAATAACTTGGAATATTCAGAACAAGTAGATTTTTAATCACTTGTAATTCTGTTTTCTTGGAATTTCAAAAGTGAAGGTTCTACAGTTAGCATTTTGTCATGTCTAATTCTAGGCTCCTTTCTATTTATATTATTAAATTATACTGTAAATACAGTTCTGTTTCTTGCTTTTTACAGACTCATAGCTAACATTTATTAAGGGGCGACTCTGTGCCAGATATTGTATTAAAGTGTTTTGTAAACACTGTTTTTATCTCCTATCGTGTGTGTGTGTGTGTGTGTGTGTGTGTGTGTGTGTGTGTGTACTAAGGATTGAAGCCAAGGCTTTCACACTGAACTACATCCCCAGCCTATTTCTTTATTTTCTATTTTGAGACAAGGTCTTCCTTAGTCACTAAGTCACCCACATGGGATCAAACACACAATCTTCTAGCCTCCCACAGTATTCCCCACTGTACCTGGCTGCCTTTTATCTTTATAACCCACTGGTTCTCCCCAGCTAAGTTAGTTCTCCTGCCTGTACATAACCTCATCCTCTGTGTATGTCTTTGAACCCCAAGCTTCTCTGCCTCTGTCTTTGTTCACATCACTTATATCCCAGGCTTTATGCCCTCTCCTGGTTCCCCTTTCATTGGAACTCAGCATTGCCATCACAGGCTGTGCAGCTAACGTCTGATTTCCCAAACGCAAAATGGGGAAATAATGTATCCTGCAGAGCTGTTGTGGGGATAGTGATAACCTATGCAGTGTTTGTGTATCATGTATAGAAAAGACATTGGAAAGCCAGGTGGGTGGCACACCCCTGTAATCCCAGCACTTGGGAGGCTGAGGCAGGAGGATCCCAGTGAGTTCGAGGCTAGCCTGGGCTACATAGTGAGTTTGAGGCCAGCCTGAAATACATACCAAGACACTGTCTCAAAAAATCAAAAAAAAGAAAAAGAAAGAAAAGAAAAGACATTGGAAAAGTATTAGTTTTTAATCCCAAGCAATAAAAGCAGGAGTTTGGTATATTTGTGTTAGAGATTAAGATTCTAGCAAGATACAAAGAAATGGTTCAAGAACTCAGATTTTAAAGACTCCAGGATCGGTTTGATTAATTTTAAGATGAATTTAATGATTTTAGAGTTAATAAATAATAGTTAAAGGCTGTCCCAGGCAACATATGATATGAAAATATGAGTTATGAAGCATGTCTATTCCTTTTTGGTTTTGGTACTGGGGATCGAACTCAGAACCTTGCGCTTTTGAGGCAGGCGGCAGAACCACTGAGCTAAATCCCCAGCACATGTCTATTCCTTTTATGAAATGTTTTTAAATAGTGAAAAACAGAGGAATACAATACATTTCCTTGCAAAACTAAGAAATTGCAGCTCTCTGTCATTTGCTTTGATATTTAACTTTCCCCTTAAAAGAATTAAATATTTCCAGCTGGACATGGTGGTACACTCCTGTAATCCCAGCACTCTGGTAGGCTGAGACAGGCGAGTTGTAAGTTCAAACCCAGCCTGGGGAACTTAGCAAGACCCTATGTCAAAAGTAAAGCAGGCTAGAGTGGTGGGGTGTGGCACCCACCATGACCCAACAGGGCGCGGCGCTGCAGAACTACAACGAGCTGGTCAAATGCATCGAGGACCTGTGTCAGAAGCAGGAGGAGCTGTGCAAGCAGATACAGCAGGAGGAGGAGGAGAAGCAGTGGCTGCAGAACAAGGTGAGGCAGTTGACAGAGAAGCTGGCCCACATCAACGAGAACCTGGCAGGCAAGATCACCTCTCAGAATGGTTTTACTGCTCCATCATGGAGACGGAGGCCACCTACCTCAAGATCCTGGAGCGCTCACAGACTCTGCTTCGTGTCCTGAAGAAAGAGGCTGGGAACCTGACCAAAGCCACAGCTTCATACTAAACGAGCAGTGGAGCAAGGATAGCTAACAAGGCTGGGTGGGCCAGGCTGTCTCTGCTGTGCCTATGACGACTCAGCCCCCCACACATCTGCCTTGAAGCATCTTTGTTCTTCATGATGAAAGCTGCCTTCCCACATTTCAGATGCCCAGAGCAGCAGCTGCATTGCCGCCGGCCTTGGGTGACAAGAGCTCTTGGCACAGCCCATGGGTGGAGTCTTCACTCTACCCACTTGGGGTACAGGACAGTGGGCTCTAGGTCCGCTCCACATGGAGCCTCTGAGGGCCCTCTGGTGTGCCAGAGAGGTCTTGGTTCTAGTCTAGACTCATCACTGTGGAACTCTTCACTTTGTCCCTTCTCAGCTAGTGGGGACCCAGGTTCGGACAAGTGAGAGAGGGTGCCTCCTTCACCCCAGATTCCAAATCTCAGGTCCTGCCCCCATGGCCTATGACTATATCAATAAAAGCTAAGTAAAGAAAGGGCTGAGGATGTAGCTCAGTGTGATCTGCAGTACCACAATCATTCAATCAGTATTTCCAATAAAAATGAAGTTCTCTCTGCTGTTACTCAGTCTTTTTCCTCTTCCTTCCTTTTCAGAGGCAATCATTGTGAATTTGATGTGTATCTTCCCATTCATTTTTGTGTTGTTGGTTTTTTTTTGAGATAGGGTCTTGCTATGTAGTTCAGCCTGGCCTTGAACTCTTTATAGCCCAAACTCACAGGGATCCTCCTGCCTTAGCCTCCTAAATCCTTGGATTACAGGCGTGGGCTACTACACCCATTGAAATTTTTATATTTATGCTGATACTAGGTATATAAGTATTTTTATGTACTTTTCAAATTTATATAAAATTATCATATTGTAGGATTGTTATGAAGCTTGCTTGCTTTCTTCATTATGAGACCTAACCTTCATGGAATATTTAAATGAAGTTAGAGAAACAAAAACGTTCTCACATTCTGATTACCTTATTTCCATAAATGATCTGTCTCCAGCCATAGCTTCCCATTAATCTACAGCCATGTTTCCTCATCCAAACTTATTCCAAAGAACTTGTATTATAGAAATTTCATTTCTAGAGAAAATACGCATTAAATCTCAGTGTGGATTTCTTAAAAATGACTAACAACTTATGATGACAAATTACCTTTGTTCTATTTTGATTGTCTTACTTTTGGTTTGTCATTTTCAACAGTTTCATTACTGGTCCCGCTGTAGTCCCGGGGTACTTCTCTGCTGATGTGAATAATGTGGTCCTGGTTTTAAACGGAAGAGAGAAAGCAAAGGTCTTCTATGCCACCCAGTGGTTACTTTACGCGCAGAACTTAGTACAGTCTCAAAAACTCCAGCACGTTGCTGTTGTTCTGCTGGGAAATGAACACTGCGATAATGACTGGATGGCCCAGTTCCTCAAAAGCAATGGCGGCTTTGTGGAGCTGCTGTTCATCATATACGACAGCCCCTGGATCAACGATGCAGATGTGTTTCAGTGGCCTTTAGGAGTAGCAACGTAAGTATGAAATATGTTTAAAGGTTTCTAGACTCTTGAGATGTGAATTTCTCAATCAGGAAGATTGTGTTTTAAATTGTAATGAATGTGGGCTGGGGATTTAGCTCAGTGGTTCGGTCACCTGCCTCGCAAGCACAAAGTCCCGAGTTTGATCCCCGGTACCAAAAAAAAAAATTTTTTTATTTTTGGTACCGGGGATCGAATTTGGGTCCTTGCGCCTGCGCACCAGGGGGTGAAACCACTGAGCTAAATCCCCGGCCAATAAATGTAATTTTTCTGGGATCAATGAACTCAGAGGCCAGAGACAGTCTTTTCTAAAGGTAAAAAATAGAGCATTGTCTCATGCTTCAGTGACAATATTTGTATTTTATCCTTTTATAGGAGAACAAATGAGTTACTTATTGTTTTAAAACCCCAAGGAGTACCCTAAAAAGATGTTTACCAAAGAATTAATAGTGATAGTATATAACTCACAGTTTAGAATTACTATTAGGGCAGTGTTATTATATCAAGAGGACACTATGCCCTTGGATTTGGAATGGCTGGATTTGCACAAATCCCTTCTGTAAAAGGTTACTTAAATTATAACTAATGCCTCCCAAGCACAAGGTCCTAAGTTCCATCCCCAGTACCAAAAAAAAAAGAAAAGAAAGAAAGAAAGAAAATAAATTATAACTAATATTTTCTCAATACAGTCTTTCCCTAGCTATAAAATGGAAAACATGCCAGGTGTGGTGGTGTATACCTGTAATCTCAGGTCTTGGGAGGCTGAGGCAGGAGGATTGCTGTGAGTTGGAGGCCAGCCTGGGCTACTTAGTGAGTTCAGGGCCACCATGAACCACAGTGACAGCCTGTCTCAAAAGAAAAAGAGGGGGGGGACATCTTTTGTCTGTATGCTAATAAAAGGTTTTTAATGAAAGGCAAGTTGACTTTAAGACAAATTGCCACTAGTACAAAAAAACTTCCTGAAGGCAGAGATTTTTTTTCACTTTTGTTCACTGCTCCATCCATAGACCCTAAAACAGTACCTACGCACAGTAGGCATTCAGTAAATATTTGTTGGGTGGGTGAAATATCTCACCAGCATGATTTTGGAATCAGACATTCATTATTCATTATTCTATCACCGTTACCAGATGTAGCTTTAGATTGCTGCCTAGTTAAGCTGCACCAGTATCACCAGAAAGCATCCTATTGAAACATAGTCCCAGGCCTGTTTTCACAGTATTCTGACTCATAGGTTTGGGGTTGGTTTTTGCTAAGTACATCCAGACTAAAAGTCCTCTGATAAATCTATCCCTTGAGAAGAGACTATATTTGTAAAGTATTTTGAAACATTTTACTTTTTCACAATAATATTACATATCTATTCATACAGCATAAGATGGAAACTCATGCTAATTCTGGTATTGCTGGGTTAGGCCAACATAGTTCTTGAAGATCAATAGTTATCAACTAGGAGCAATCTTGTCCCCACAAGGTATTTAGCAATATCTAGAAACATGTTTGATGGTCACAAATGAAGGAAGAAGGTTGTCACAGCTGGCAGCTGAAGGGTAGGACAGGGTTGCTGCTAAACACCCACAGTGTAGGAACAGGCTCCACAACAAAAACTCAGGCCCCAGTGTCAGGAATGCTGAGGTTCGAAACCTTGTTACAGACTAATGGTTATGATAAACTTTGTTCTCCTATGAAGGATATATTTCAGACACACAGTTTTGTCCTTCTTATTCTCAAATTCCCATAAGAACAGGGCACTTGAGTAGGCCTACCTTATATGGCATACAAGGCGTTTGTTTGTTTTTGTTTGTTTGTGGTTTGTGGGTTTTGGTGGGGTTTTTTTAACAGGATATCTCTATGAGTTCAGGCTGGCCTTGAACTCACTATAGCACTATAGCCCAGGCTGGCCTCAAGCTCACAGTAATCCTCCTCCCTCAGCCTCCCAAGTGCTAGGATTACAGGCTTATGTCACCGCACCTGGCTGGGGGTTTTTTTGTGTGTTTTTATTTGTTTTAATCTATTTGAAAAGCTCTTGGGAACAGTAATACATATTCTATAATGTTTCTCTTTTTTCTCTTTCCTTTTTTAAACAAACAAATGATTATATATGTCTGTGGGGTATAATATAGTATCTTGGTATGTGTTTTCAATGTGAAATGTTTAAATCATGCTAGCAAATTCAGCAATTCACATACCGTTTTTTGTGATAAATATTTGTAAATCTTTTTTTTACCAATTTTAAGTATAGAATGCATAGTAACAATTCTTTATGATAGATTGATAAACCTTATTCCTCCTAAGTGAAACTTTTTATCCTTTGATCAAAATCTCCCTTCCCAAAATATTCAGTAATCTTCCTATCACCTGGCTAACACATTAAATTATGATCATTGTGAAAGTTAAAGAGCATTTATATTTTGAAAGTCTTGAATTCAACATGCCTAACAACTGCAGATGAGTAATATGAGTTGTGAAAATACAATGAATATTTAAATTTTTAAAAAATTTTTACAGTAAAAGACACACTACCATTAACTTCACTCGAAACACTCCCATCACTTCAAACACACATCCCATCATCACTGCCACTTTCTGAAGCATCTCTGGAAGTCTTCTTTTGTGTTTTTAGTTGCACTGTGGTAACTGCCTCAGTGTCCTGAGTCAATTCAGACATTTACCTTTCATGATCATTTTGACTTTGGGGAAGAATCGGAAGCCACACAGTACCAGATCTAGTGAATGTGGTGCATGAGGACACACAGTAATGTTTTTACAAGCCTGCCTTTCTGTTAGATGGCACTTGGCAGCATCATTTTTATCACATCTTATAAAGACACCAAAAAAGGAGTTGCTTCAAAAAGTGGCAAGAACAATGCAATAAGAGTGTTTCAAGCAATGGGGAGTACAGTATTTTGTGTGGTGTGTGAGTTACTTTTCTCATTGCTGAGAAAAATACCTGGGGAAAGGTTTATTTGGCTTACAGTTCATAGATGTTTCAATCCATAATGGACTGGCGCCAAGGCAGGGTGGCACAGGGCAGGAGGCAACAGTTCATGGAGGCCAGAAGATAGCAAAAGCAAGAAAAAAACTTAACAGCATGTTTCTGCCGCTTTTTTCTAGCCTACTGGGCTTAGGGTGGTGCCAGACCAATCAATGGACTGATTTAGTAATCACACACCCTTAATACCAGCATCACACACTCTAGATTCAGCCACCTCTGAAAAAGCCACTTTGGAGGGACATCTACACCCAAACCATAACAAGTGAGATTAAAGGCAATGTGTCTTTTACTGTAATAAAATTTTTTAGTTATATGTTCACCGTATATTTTGATTGCACCTTGTCGACATTAAAGAATGCCAAAAACAGAAGACTTTAGCCACAAAGTGTTTATAACATTTTCATAAAGACATACCAATGGGAAAAAAGTTTTGAATCAGTAAATTCAGGGACTTTTCCAGAGTAAGATATTTTTTCAAAGAAAGTTACAACCTATAAAAAATGCTGGCAGGGGCGTGGAGAGAAAGGAACCCTTCTCCATTGATGGTGGGAGTGCAGACTGGTGCAACCACTGTGGAAATCAGTATTGAGACACCTCAAAGAACTAGGACTAGAGGTCCCATTTGACCCAGCTATTCCCCTACTGGGTATCTTTCCCAAAGAATTAAAAGAATCATACCACA